GATGATGGCCAGTGCATTCATGATGATAATGGCAGCGTAAGGACACCAAAATTTAAGGGTTATTTTTTCGAATTTCGTGCCCTTCTTTTTTTGGAAGTCAAACCGTGGAAGAGACCTTTAAAGGGAACCTGCAGTCAATAGGGAACACCGATGTCTTCAATAGTTCGAAATGCATGGAGTATTTATTTCAGTTGCCAAAGAAGGAAAATTCAAATTTCTTCAGCTGACTCTTTTCGTGGCAATGCAGGAGATTTGGACACTCTGTCGAATTCTGAAACGAATCCCAACCTACAAAAAGTTCGTAGCTGCAGTTATACCAGCAACTGAACAAAAGCCCATTAATTGTGATTCAAATTCAAAAACATGCAGCTTTGAATCTGAAACCAGTACTGAGCAGGATGTAAGTTTTGGATACTCATTTGTTCAAAGAAATGAACGGAAGCCTGTCACCAGAGACCAAGTTGACCATGAAAGGAATCACCTTTTTATGGGTGGTCAGTATGATTCAGTAACTGAAGCTCCATTTACTGCAGCGTACCAGGGCTTTCGGAACACAGGTATTGGAGATGATTTCTTCGTTAATGGAAACTGGGATGACCTAAGAACAGTGGTTGATCTAGCCATCGATCCAGCTCAAGTTTATGACGAATGTACATGGTAGATATATGTACTTTTCTTTCCTATGATTAGGGATTTAGAAACTCTAATAAGCATACGATGGCTTAGTATTAAATTTTTGACATTTTCTTTTTCTAAGTTTAACCTTGAAAAACTAAAGAATCACACTATCAGTTAATAATTACATAATATTGTTAATAATTACGTAAGTTTCCAAGTAAAGTTTATAAAACTTGAATTAATAATTTATAAAAAATAAATTTATAGTCTAACTAGTTAAATTATACTTTTCAAGATTGGAATCATATTATTATTATTATGAAACCCAGCTTAATTTAGAGGGTTGATTCTGAACCCGACTAACCTAGAGCTAGAATTATGCGTAATTGAAGAAAAAAATAGGGAATCAAAAAACCTAGTGTGACTCAAATAACTCGGCAAGATTCAATTAAAAATCTAGTTGTAATTCGTTGATTTTTTTTATTAAAATAATATCATTTTAATTTTAAAAAATTAACTCAAATAATTTAATAATTTGATAAAAGCAAAAACTCAAATCTTAAACTAAATTATATGTGAAAACTATGATTATTATTTAGTGCTGCTTTTAGTTTTGATAAAGTGATTGATTTGATAAACACGCAGAATGTATGGTCCAAATCCATGCATTAATTTTTCTCACCTGTCTCATTTTGAGAATTAATATGTAAAGGTCAATCTATCAGACTAATATGTAAAGTTCAATTTGTCGGACTTTGATGAATACAATTTTTATTTTATTTTTATATTTTTTATTTTAAATTAGACTTTCATTATTCCAATGATTAGGTGAATTTTTCAATTATATTGAATAACTCAACTGAAAAAAATTATTTTTAGATGGTTATTTCCTTCTTTCATTGATAAAAAAAAAAAAATCAGCTTGTTTGGTCATTAGTACAAATAGATTAGGCAACACCAAAAACATCTAAAACAAAAAAAAATGAACATATAATCCAAGATAGAAAAGAGTTCAAAAAAATAAAAGGTAAAAAGAAATGTTGAATGCACACTTGTAACTTCAATCAACACATATGCTATACACTCAGAAAAATCTTAACAAAAAAAATTTAATAACATAAAAAAGAGTTTATCATTAAAATTTAAAGTGAGTCATATGCATAACTTAAAAATAATATATGTAACTCACATGCCGATGCATGTGATGCACACACTAATTAAAATTTTATTTTGATTTTATTTAATTTATATTCAAATTTAGTTTCACACAAACTCAAATGAACTAGTAATTACCTGTTTATATAACAACTCAAATGAGCTAACATGTTCATTCAGGCCAAGCCCAAACAAATTTGTCATAGGCTAGCAATTTTGTTCACAGCCCCCTAGTCTTTTCAATAGCCACTTAATCCATGATAAGTTTAGCCATTAACACATACCATAATGTAAAATGACTAGCTTCAAGAAAGTTGATATAATATTATTTTCTTTTTAATTTATACATAAATTATCAATACAATATCTATATTTTTTTTGTTAATGATCGTTTGTTGCTATCATGTCTCTTTAAAAGGTTACATACAAGAAAAAATAATTATTTTTCATTATTACATCACTCTCTTTGAGATAAAATAACATAACCAAAGTTTATAAATACCAATAGTTATTATGTAAACAATTCATTCACAACACAAACATAAAATTACAATTAGAGTAGTAAAGTAGAGCACACCAGTTCACAGAGCCACATTGCTCTTACCTTGTTCCTGCTCCCCTCTTCACATATTTTTCTTCTACTCCTTGCATCATTTTTTAGTTTAACATACTCATATTCTATTATATTTATTAAATTAAGTATTACTTAAAAAGATTCTGACTTGTTTTTACAATAGAGCTCATGAAAATCACCCTTTCACTTTATTAATAAATAGTCAAAGCCCAATTACTCTATCTGTCAAAGGTATGGCCATGAAAAACCTAATCAACTTAAAATTTTCACGACTTAAATTCTATCTCCATTCCAACAAGGTTTAAAACCACGTGTGTTTCAAACTCTTTATTGAAGAAGACACCAATATTAACAAAATTATTAATTTCTAAAAAGTAGACTATTTTTAGAACAAAGTTTAAGATATAGGCAAATATTTTTTTATCAATTTTTCTTATTTATTCATCATTTGAAATCCTAGATAAGATAAAATAAGCTGCTTAAATCAGTCTTATAGTAATATACTGATACTTTATTTTTATTACTAATATTTTACAAAAAAAACTTAAGAAGTTGATATAAAATATTAAAATATAAGAATAATTAAATTAAATTCAAATTTATCAAATCATTAAATTGAATCCTTAGTCCATTTCTTTTACGTTGTTGTTTTTATTATCTTATGTTATTTGCTACCAATTTTCTTCTTTGACAAGGAAACATGAAACATTGGGTGGATGTTAGCTATTTCTGATTACACAGGTTTACATGACACAACCTTAATCATTTGAATGACTTTATAAGAACCAAAATACTGGGTTCGGCTGTATATTCCTTTTAAAACCCACAGTTGCCTGTCTATATGATTGGAACTATTAGAACATTTAACTATCTTTGTAAATTATGATTCATTTATTCTCTTTTCTGCAACATTTCTTCAACTCATGCCGTAATAGTTTCTCTAGTCGCACTATTTCTATAGTTGTAGATAGATAAACATACATAACATGAAAAATGCTCATTTTGATAGTGAAATGATAGCTAGAATTATATCATTATTGTCCTAAAACCAACCATGAACAACAGTATTTAGAATTATAAATATTTATTCATAGACATACACCTTAAATATATTTCCAAACAATAACAGTCTTATAGTAATATACTGGTACTTTTTTTTTTATTAATATTTTACAAAAAGACTTAAGAAGTTGATATAAAATATTAAAATATAAGAATAATTAAATTAAATTCAAATTTATCAAATCATTAAATTGAATCCTTAGTCCATTTCTTATACATTGTTTTTATTATCTTATGTTATTTGCTACCAATTTTCTTCTTTAACAAGGAAACATGAAATATTGGATGGATGTTAATTATTTCTATTTTTTTTTTTAATTTATATAGGGTGTCCAGATCAGTGTGCACGCACCACGACTAATTCTATTTTTAATTACACAGGTTTACATGACACAACCTTAATCATTTGAATGACTTTATAAGAACCAAAATACTGGGTTCGGCTGTATATTCCTTTTAAAACCCACAGTTGCCTGTCTATATGATTGGAACTATTAGAACATTTAACTATCTTTGTAAATTATGATTCATTTATTCTCTTTTCTGCAACATTTCTTCAACTCATGCCGTAATAGTTTCTCTAGTCGCACTATTTCTATAGTTGTAGATAGATAAACATACATAACATGAAAAATGCTCATTTTGATAGTGAAATGATAGCTAGAATTATATCATTATTGTCCTAAAACCAACCATGAACAACAGTATTTAGAATTATAAATATTTATTCATAGACATACACCTTAAATATATTTCCAAACAATGATTTATCCGTTCAGACCATCTATTAGATTAAAGATCATAAATTAAATTTATAAACAACTTAACACCTAACAACTAAATCGGTAAACTACCATCAATTCCATCTATTAAATTAAAGATCATAAGTTAAATTTATAAGCAACTTAATACCTAACAACTAAATCGGTAAACTACCATCTTAGTAGTGAAAGAATGTAACAAAATAATGAAGGGACTATATATTATAAACTTGTCTCCATAACCACATGTTTATCTATAAAGCTATGGGTATTATCACTATTAATAAGAATTATAAGGTTCTTGTTTTGTTAATTTCCTTGTATTATGAGCATAAGTATTAGTCAAATGTGTTAAGAAATAAGCCATGCTGATCCACACATAATCCTATTGAGCCATAATTTTATTATTATTTCCCTCATCTACTTCTAGAAAATCCTCACGTTTGTCCACACCATTCATTATATTGAAGTTCTTATTACATTGATGGCCTAATACAAATTTCTCCCAATATTTATAATATTATCCTAATTTTCTCTTTTGTTCGTGTAAGGTTCCATGCAATCGTTTTTCTTCTACTATAAAATTAGTTCTTGCATTATACGGAGTTTTGAAAGATGAGTTACTTGGTGGTTTTCCATTATTGAAAGGAGGAGATATTTTGGGTAACATTATATTCTTCCTCACTAAGCATGTTTAGACTTCTATTGCCACGTTAGTTAATCAAATGCTTGTATCAATGTTGCAAGGTTCAATATCTTCAATGTTAGTTTGATACCATCTTTGAGACCATTGATACAGCTTGATATAAAGTATAATTATAGCAGTGAAGGATTCAAGATGCTCATTAAAGATTTGAGCTCCTCAAACCTTTCAACATACTTTTATACCTCTTTCTCTTGCATCAACTTGTTGAGTTCTTCCATTACATTGTCCTTGCTGCCAAGTCTTGTACAAATGGATCGAACAAACTCCACCCAATTAGTGAGGTCATGATCTCCTCTCAAAAAGCCTTCAAACCAAACTTCTATTTTGCATTCCACGTAGAGTAAAGATATTTCGATCCAATGATGAACTGCGAGAAACATAACTTGAAATATTTTTTACGTTTTATAATCCATCCCGTGGATTATCTCCATGAAATTTAGTTAGCTTTATTTTAGGTAAAGCCACATTGTATATCCCATTATGGCCTTCATTAATTCTAACATTGTCATCTTGATTATGATTCATTTGTAGAAAAACCACGCCTCTTGTATTAGCATGGTTCCTTCTTTCCTTCTCTGATTCCCTTCCATCCATGAATGTTTGAATGGTACGTCGCCATCAAAGTTTCCATTTGTGCATTGAGTTGCTCATTCCATTTAGCCTGCTCCTGTCCTTGCCTCTTATTTTAATTCCATGAATCCTCCAATTCTTGATGAAGAACTTGTATTCTCTCATCCAATTGTCTACCGTGCACTTCCAAAACTGACTTCGTTGTTTTCCACTATTATTTTTGTTTCCTCCTGCAATAGCCTTGAATTCATGGCTCTGATATCAATTTACTAAGGTTTGACCTTAACAAAAATAGTTGTTGGTCGAGAAATCGAGATTGAGAGTTAGAGAGAGAAGAGGGAGGGAGATTATTATTGCAATTTACCAAAAAAAAGTATTGTATTACTTGCTTTCTCATTTACGACACTATCAAGTTTGTAACAAATTGCAGCGCCAACTCCAAGGCTTTTAGTGCATAGTTCAGCTAGATCCACATTTTCTTAGCTAAACTAGCAAAGAAACTGCACCTGGTGCGACTGGATGTGCATCGTTAAATGATTTCATTTAATGAGGGAAATCTTTGGGTAACAACGCATGTAAAAGCAACAAAAACCCAATCAAGCAACGAAAGAGGTCAACATCTTCAAGAAAAAATTGCATTTAACACTCAGAACTAACAAGCTCTTTACACAAACATAAAAAGGGGAATCTTCTTATGCCCTCAAAAACATTGAAGAATGGCCAGCTGTATTCCTTAACAAAGATACAAAGTCAATCACAATAATGACGACTGGAAAATATATGGTTGGGACAAGAAGGTTCAGATTTCAGAACAGCGCTCTGTACACGCGTATCATAGATGGACTATTTTGAAGCTCTCAAATACATTCCAGGAAAGGTCTGGATGTATCCTTCATTGAAGATACAGGGTGATATAACAAGCAATGGCGTCCAACCAGCCAGCTGATGAAAGACACACCTCGAGAAGTGTTAGGATTTTACTGTTAATTGACTTCAAATAGCATGCCATTCCCTACCTTTAATGATTGCTGTCCGCTGTAGAACATGCAAGATTAAACATCAAGGCTGATGATAGGTGCTGGCTCCTTGCTCATGATGATTATTTACAGGTGCCCTAACAACAGGAATATCCAGGCTGCTTCCATCTATCTCCGGTGCAACTTCTCTGACATCAGCTATTGTTGACTCTGTTGCCTGAATATCGCTCCATTCAGCATCTTCAACAGGCCCGGGGTTACTTTGATCCACTGCCATGCGCACAACATTCTCCCCAGCAGCTGGGACAGCTCTAGAAACACTAAGACAAGCTTTATCAACATTCTCATCTGACAAGTCTACATGCTTAGTCAGGGGAAGAGTGCTGTCAACAACATTTGGAGCCTCCATTTTCTCCTTGAAAACTTGCTTTGTATCTTTGTGCTGCCTGTTGAGGGAATGGTATATCAATTTTGTCTTAGCAAGTTTCAAGTACAATATTTTTTTTAATTTCCCCTTTCATGGGCTGAAAATGCTGATGACAAAATGCAGAAAAGAAACAATCGACGTACATTAGCAGAAGCAGTACAATGACAAAATCCAAGAGTGAAATATACAGATTTATGTCTCCTAAAGGCTAATATAAGATGATTTCAAAACATCAAAACATGAAAAAAGGGGCAGCAATATTTCTATTGGGTGAGAAGGGATCAGATGTCAAACCTTTGAAGTTGTGCCTGTAACATATTCACGTATGCTAGAAGCTCTTCCTTCTCCTTCACAGCAGCTGCCTCTCTCTGTGCAGCCTCCTTTATTCTAGCTTCAGCATCTGCTTCTGCAACTCTTGCCTTCTCCTCTGCTCTAACAACAGCTCCTTCCAATATCAGAGCACGCTCTCTGGCTTTCGCAATCTCAGAACGCCATAAATTTGCCTCCTGGATGGCAGAGTCTCTCTGCCTGATCAGTTGATCTCTTTCCTTACTCAGAGTCACAACCTTTTCTTCATACTCCTTTAACTACACACATCCATAAATGAAAGCCCACATAAACAAACTGAAACTGACATCCTAAATTGTACGTAGGCATTAGCTCTCATTTGGCAATGATAAACACATTAATCAAACTGCATCTCGAAAGAGAGAATATGGTCTTGAAGAGGGATTTTCTTTTGCTAACACATCCCATATGGTTTCCATATATATATATATATATATATAGCCTTTGGCATATAGAATGAACCATTGAAAAAGGCAAGATTACTAGTACCTTCAACATGGATGACTCCAGCTGCTTTTCTGAAGCTTTTGATAACCGCTCAATTTCAGCACAAACAATTCTTCTCTGTTCATCCATAGCATGAGCAGAAGATGCTGCAGCCTCAGCAGCTTCAGCTGTCTCAGATAGTTTATCTGCTATGTCTTTTATTATTGAGTCACGAGCACGAATATCTCGAGCCAGATTCTGTAATTCCTCATCCTTGACTCTCAGCGTCTCCTGTAAAATATTCTCACTTTAGAAACCAAGTCCATGTGGAATGAATAGTCAAATAAACTTAATGTTTGGCATCAGGAAGCCACAGGTTGGAAACATGCCAACCTAGCCTAGGCAGGTGCTGCACAGCATGTAGTTTATATATAGTGCAAGGATAGTTAGTTGATTCTCAAAAGAAAAGGACGCGTAATTGGGTTCTCTAGGCACAAATTTCCATGTAAGACCATAACAAAGCCAGCCACTATGACTTTTAAAAAAAAAAAATTACTATTTATTATAATTCCTAACATGAAATTTGTGAAACACTCAATAATATTAGGGTAAAAATGTTCAAGACTTTGAAAACAACTTCTTGTTTGCAGGAGTAAGCAAGTGTTAAAACTGTATGTTGTTTAGCTAGTATGATGAGGACATCAAATCCAAGACATGATTCACACATTTATACGATCTATGATGATGGAAGATAGCTCAACTTTTGTATTATTGGATTTTATTTAGGTTTATTTATTGGCTTAATTTAGTTATTGTTTTATTTAGGTTTATTTATTGACTTAATTTACTTATTATTGGATATTTTATTTGGTGGGATATAAACCCAATTATTTGTTCTAGTTAGAGTTGCAGTATTTATATCTTATTTTTCTAAATGTTAGACAGTTTTAATTAATTGAATAAAAATTTGTAGAGTTGCAACTTCTCAATCCATATTCTTTCTCTTCTTTAGCTTTTTCTTTGGCTGTTTTTTCTTAGCTTATTACTACATCTTCAAATCTTCTGTCCCGTATCAACCTTGGTATCAAAGCTTAGGCTTTTAATTGTTATTACTAATCAATCTTTTAGAGCTTGTGAAAATCCTCAAAATTCAACATGATTCCTAAGCCCTAGAAATTGTGTAGAATCATCAACATTTAAAGAAAATAAAACTAATTTGTCTGTTTACAACCCAAATCTGAATAAAAAAAGTTACCCTCGCACAGCTATGTCATCAAACTGCCATGTCTATGCCACGCCATCACACCACCGCATCAGTGACATGTCAACACACATCAATAACATCACACTGCATTGTCATGTCAGCCATCATTGCCATGTCAGCATTTTTTGCCATGTCAACAATAGTAGCTTCCAACATCTTCCCACCAAGCAATCTAGTTAGTAAATAAGTTTACCTTTTAATACGTTGAATTTTATTGTATTGGTATTACACTTGTTATTCAAATTATCAGTGACCCTCTGTGCCTGGAAAAAACCTCTCCTTGCATTACACCCTTATATATTTGCCCACTTTATATATTGTCATTCAAATTTTGTCATTGGACTTTTTTATTAATTGTGGAGCTTATCGAAATTAGTGAAAAGTTGTGATTTTTATTTGATTAATTATTTACACTAACAGTTTAATAGTGCATGCTTAAAATTTCTCTAGTGTTTTCTATTCTTGATTAATCTCCACATTAAAAACAAAAATGGAATTAGCTTTATTTTTGTATTGTGATTTCACTTGTAGAAATCATAAATGATCTCAATTCCATTTCTAAGTTAGCGTTGCATGCATTTGTATCATGATCATCTAGTGTCTTACACTTAACGTGGACCAACCCTTAGTGAAACTCTCAAGGTCATTTGAGGGGAACTCTAAACTCAGATGACCAATATGTCTAAAAGAGTTGAACCCCTAGAGAGTTCTCGAATAAAGCACCCAAAAGCACCCAAAGACAAGTAAAAATTACAATAATAATAAGTTCACCATGAGCATCACCAATATAACTATTATTTAGGTCACTCTACATATGATGACCTTGATGAGCAAGTCACGAGCCCTAACAAAATAGAAGCTTCCACCCAAAATAGAAGCTTCCACCTTTGACGATCGTCATAATCTTTGGGTCATTGAAATGTGGATTTATAACATGAATCAATTCTTTTTTTGGCATAACTTGTTTGATAATAAAAGAGTTAAATTTGCTAAGATAATGCTCTCATTGATAGCCCAACTTTATTGAGGAGATGTTGATTGTTTATAGAGAAGAGGTCAACCTCTCATAACTGATTTGACCGAAATGAAACAAGAATTATAAGAGAAATACCTACCTCGGTCTTATAGGAATAGACTCTTAGACCAATGGAACAACATAAAGCAGGGGAACAAATCTGTCAATGAAAGATGTCCTTTGAAAACTAGTCATAAATTACAAGGGAGTAGTGAGACTAAACTTTGATATTAGCTCTACTTTTTATATAAAGAACCTCGATATATATATAAAACACAGCAGTCTATCTGTAATGATCCTTTTGAGACTCTTGCCCTGTTATCATTATCTTTGGCACAAAATGAACATATTAATATTACTTTAGATGAACACAAGTTGCTTTTACTATGGATGATGAACTTCAATAAATCCTAGTATATGAGATAAATGACTAGATTCAGATTATACTTGGATTACCAAAGAGATATCACAACAGCTTGATCCTTATCTTCAAAAGTGTTATTGGAGCCGCCATGAACTATACTCAACAAGGTAAAGTTCTTCCAACCCTGGAAAAGTTGATAGGGACATCATACCCGAGACATGGTTCACACGTTTATATGATCTATGATGATGAAAAATAGGCCAACTCTCGTGTTATTGATTTTTATTTAGGTTTATTTATTGGGCTTAATTTAGTTATTTTTGAATATTTTATTTAATGGCCTATAAACCCAATTATTTGTTCTAGCTAGGGTTTTAGCATTTATATCTTATTTTTCTAAATGTTAGACAGATTTGATGAATTGAATAAAAATTTGTAGAGTTGCAACTTCCAACCCCTATTCTTTTTCTTCTTCAGCTTTTTTTTCTATTTCTTAGGCTTCTTCTTCTTAACTTATTACTTCATCTTCAAATCTCTTTTGTCCTGCATCAAATAGCTATTTCAATTTCACTATTAATGAAAAAAATTGAGTGCATAATTCTCATAGGCAAGCTTGTGCACACATGTTCTGAACTTACTTCTTCATACATTTACACAAGCTCGGAGCACATAGCTCAGAATTTGCAGTCGATAGAGGGTAAAGGGCATGAAATTTGACACGTCTTCTAAATGTAAACATTAAGTGGTAAACAATGCAATGGGGCACTATAGCTTAAGTTCCAAAAAATAACAAAAGGCAACCAATTTTGAATATCTATAAAGCATACTGAGAATGTTTCCCTTAATCTGGACAAAAATTGTGATATAGCAACAAAAGAACAAGAAAGAGAAATTTTGGAAATTATATACCTTCAGGATTGTCTTGTCATCCATTGGACCATCAGTTGTCCTATTATTCATCATTCCTAAAGCATTTCTCAAAGAAATCTGCATTGCTGCTTCAATTTCTTTAGAGCATTCCAGCGCTGTTGAATTGGCTGCAGCAACTACAGTGGCAACTGTTCCTAATTTTGCAGAACCATTTCCACTTAGGGAGTCCACAGCCTCTTTATGAGCCTTTAGAACCAACTGAGTAGCACTGGTTATCAGCAAGACAAAAAAAAATAATAAAAAAGAAGGGAAAAAACTACTAGTAATGCAATTTTCAACATCAATCCAAATAAAGTAAAAAAAATGATCTCATATGATCCTTGTAAGATTGGCCAAAGTAAATTAGTTACTGAACATCATTAACAAAAACATAGACCAACTAAAAGAAATTATTACAGGTAGAGAAAGGAACCTAAATGAAGAAAAAGAGGTACTGTTATATTCCCATGCTTTAGAGAAACTTGCCTCTTAGATTCTAAATCTTTTAACCATGTTGCCAGTGTTGGCAGGAAGATTTTTGAGCTGATTGTTTAACTTTTAGGGCAGCACTTGATCAGGGAATTACTTCAATATACAGCCTATGTGAAATACTTTAAAGGAGAAACACAAATTTGAAAGTTACTCCAATGTCACAGAGGACCAAACAAATCATCCACAAGATTATCAATGCTAGCAGGAGTAGGCTACAAGAATTATCCTTACTTCTACCCTATCCAAGACCATATGAGCTATACGATTCTAAAATACTATTTTCTTTCCCTCGCTGCTTGAAGACACACCATATGTTTGCCATTTTTTGCCTCTTCAACCTTGCACTTTTTATTCAATAGATCTCCATGGAACCTCAGACAGATTCACATTATGAGACCATCTTAAATGATTTCTTCATGAACATATATTTGACTGGTGTCACCTTTACTTTCTATTGAACTTGCTCATTTATTATATATATCTTTTCTTAGAAGCTCCAGCAGATACAATAGTTGGTCATCTCCAAGGTGCTATTCAAATAAATGGTATACTGTTGGGAGGGAAAAAAACGATTTAAAAAGTGTATACTTAATTCCAAAATCTCTAACCAGCATAAGGCTTGTGAAAATTTAGTTCACAATGTAGATCATCTTCATGGAAAGGGCACAGACTCCTAGAATGCTGCATTCATGTAAACTAGTACATGGGCCAACAGGATGTTATTGCTTTCTAGTTTTCTAGAACAACATTTCAAACTTTACATAAATAATCAACAAATCTATGTAAAAGAATACCATCTATAATCATATGAAAGTACGGGAACAGAAAAATATCCTTCAGCTCATTGAAAAGTCCATATTCCAAAGGCAAAACTTACTGTAAAGTTGCTACCCAAGCTCTAGCTGCACCAGGAGTCTCTGCACAGAGGAAGTAATCTTTTTTCTGGGGAGTACCGATGTCTAAATTATAGTTAAGCATGCAACTTCACCAAAGTCGAATTCACCTACACTACAATGCTTTCAACTGAAGAAAATTAAAATAGGTTGGCTAACTAAGGATACAAAAACAGCATCCATCGTACTTTGGGAGCCCACTAAAACACACCAAAAGAAACAACAGTGTTAATAATCATTCAAATTAATTAATTATGAAAATAATTTCTGAAAATACGCAAAGGAACCTTAATAGATTTTAAAAAAACACCAATCTTACTTGAAGTTTACAGGAGAAACTGCGATGGTGCTATTTGCATCGAAGAGAATCGTCCCTTTCACAGCTGGTTCATTTCTCCTAGTTCTAAAGCACAAGAAAACCGGCACAAGTTGAAGGATTGAAACATTACAGGCGAAAAGTGAAAAAAAGCGCAACATTTACTCACTTGTATTCCATTTTCCCAGTAGTTGGGTCTAAGATCACCCATCGCTCATTCCATTTCCTCAGCTAATAACGCAAAATTGAAGCAAACTAATCAATAACTTGGCAACTCTTAAAGACCCGACAATGTCATAATTTATTTATAATTCAACAGCCAAAGAATTCAGTCATAGCTATAATAAGGTACTGTTAAAACCAGGCTGCAATTCTTAGGTATAAACTTGAAAAGAAATTTTCCGAAATTAAAACGATTCAAGAAGTGGGAATTGCCGTACAGTTTCAGATCGCTTAAGAAGTGGGCCCTGCAACAAATTCCTACCAGAGCCGGACGCTAATTGCCGCTTGATCTTCTCCAAACTATTCTCTGTGCCCACTGCAGGTCTCTGTTGCTGCTGCAATTAATCATAATTAAAGATTACTCATCACCGTCATCATTGATGAAAACACAGTAAAACAATTGTCGCGAATTTCATTAATTTATGATTAAAAAGAGAGAGGGACTGGAGTCTGGACTGACCGTAGAAGCTCCGTTGGAGGCCATGGTGGGTGCAATTATAGATCGACGATTGGCAGTAAGATAAGTGAAATTGAAGAAGAAATCGGAGAAACGGGTTTTTTCGATGTTTAGGTAGAGAGAGGGCTGTTAGGTTTCTCTACTTGACTCGCAGGTGACGCGTTTTTTTCGGCCTTTTTATTACTTAGTTTTCTTATCACGCGCGAATTGTTCAAGACTTTTCGTACATGTATCCTTACATCACCATTGTTGCCGACTTATTATACCCGATTTGGTCTCACAGATTAACCCGGGATTCAAGTGACAGGCCATGCCCAGGTTTGCAGCTGTTAAAAACCAGACCAGCAAGTGGTCTTTTTAGAAACTTTTTTTTCTTTTTTCATGGCAGCGTTTTCCCAAAACACCGAAAAATAAAATTAATTAATAGGCTATTTACAACGTTAAATCAACCGAAGCCGAAACCTGTTAGTGACCTGGTTTTGTTTTTGACAATATTTTTCCAACGAACCAAGAAATCAAATCAATTACTGGGCAATTTGAAATGTTAAATCAACGGATAGTTAGGCAAACCTGTATCTTTTGATAGCACGTCCATGAACATATGCAAGGTTTTTCCTAACAAAGTGAAGATATGAAATCAATTAATTTCTAACTAGGAGGATCGCATTGTCCATATAGCATTAGCACGTCCATGAGGAGAATAATTGTAGGTTTTCTCTAACTTGGTTTAATTTTATACACGGAGCTTATCGCATTTTTCTTGTTAATTACCGGCTCACATCAAAATTCATTAAATAAACAAGATTAAGTCAACACCAAAATTTTGACAACAAAACAAAGTAAAGAAAGAAAAAGATAATTTAAAATATGCATGGCTCTTTGCATTATAATATACATAAATTATTTGGTTATAAATTATTATGCGGGTGTAGTGTGTATGGATTGAATTTATTTAATTTTTTATTATTAATATAGGTGTTTGTCCTAACTTGTATATATTTCGATTAATCTCATAAATCTTAGAATTAATGATTATTGATTAATCTCATAAATCTCATAAATCTTAGAATTAATGATTATATAAGTCTTTAATTATTCTGAATTTTATAAAATTTAAAATGATAACCTCTAAAAAATAAATTCCAAATCTAATTAGTTGAATTATATACCTTAAAATTTAATAATTTTTTGCAAGTATTTTAATAATTTTTTGCAAGTATTGTTGCTGCCTTGTTTGAATGAAAATTATTATGAAAAAAAAAACTATTAAGCAATGTACAATGGAGCATTAAAATCTCTATCAAACACTTACATAGTGTTTTTAATTAATGCAAAACAAGTAAAAATTATAAAAAATAGGAGGCAAAACAAATTCTTAATATTCAGACATCGGATTCAATTTTCGATGACTTTCTTTGAGACAACTATTGTCTTTTGCTTTAATTTGAATCAATTAAATGACCATTAATCTAGGTTAAATAATTAAACGTTGTAAATTTAAAAGATAATTGATTCCTAAAAAAATGGTGTTATTTGGGTTTTCTTTTTCTTTTCTATATTCACTCCACCATGGTATAGTTGTAAAATCCCTTTATAGTATTTATTTTTTCAACTGTTTATGAGAAATTGAAAATTAAATTAAAATTTTATTTTTTGTTTTTTAAAATTTAAATAATAATTAATAAAAAACTAAAAATGCTCAATCTTTTACTTAACAACAAGACACAGATCATCTTAAATTAGAACAGTAAAATAATCTTTTTGTCATTTCAAAAAATAAACAATATTTTTATCTTTTAAATTTAGTCTTTATTTTTTATTATTTTTTATTTTATTTGAGATAATTTTTAAATTTTATTTTTTATAATTTATCCCCCTTTATTTTTTCCTATTAAATTTTATTTTTATTTTTATTTTTTTACTTTGATAAAAATTTTAAATTGATGTTTTTTTATTAGTCACCATTAACTAATTGAGAATTAAACTTCTTAACGGTGACGAAGACAGGGGGCTGGCAAGGGCCCAAGCCCCTATAAGAAATTTTTTTATCAACCCTTTTTTTTATAAATATTTCCCTTAATTTTTAATTTTATCCCTTTAATTTTTCTTTCTTGCTCCGCCCTAAGTTCAAATTTACACTTTCAAAGACTGAGATTTTATAAAATTAGTCTAGAATTATAAGATTTGTACAATTATATATATATATATATATATATATATATAATTAAGATTCCGTTTGTTTGCAGGAAAGTTGTTTCTTTTTAAAAGTGAATTCTAGAGAAAGTGAATTCCGGGAAAGTGAATTCCTGGGAAAATGAATTCCTGAAAAGTAAAGTGTTTTCCGAT